GGAGAGAGAGAGGGAGGGAGGGGGAGGAGACAAGAGGAGAGAGGAGATAGAAGAGAGAAGGGAGGGAGGGAAGGAGAGAGAGAGGGAGGGTGAGAGGGAGGTAGAGAGAAAAAGAGGGACAGATAGAAGAGAGAGAGTGATAGAGAGATGACGAAAGAGAGGAGTTAGAGAGAAGAGGGGGGAGGGAGAGAGAGGGAGTCAAAGACCGTGAAGGTAGATAGCTTGGATGTGTTTGTAACTGTTGCCTTTCTAGTTTTATAAAAATTTTCGTTGTTTTTCTCTAACTATTGATGTTTGTGTTTCCAGGGACCCGCATGCTCACCCAGTGCCCTATCATTACTTCAACAAATATGGCGGGAACGAGTGCCAAGAGTACCGCAAGATGGAGAGACAGAGATCCGACACACACCGCTTCTTCGCAGAGAAGAAAGTCTTCGAAATATGGTCAAAATACCACAAAATCACTTTCCACTACCCTACATGGAGACCCAAATAATGACTCTAGTCATTTATCTAACTATAGGATCAACTACTGTTGATTTGTTTGTTTGTTTGTTTACTTATTTATCCAGGAAATACATATCGCCTGATGGCGTTTTTCAATGGTTCCTGGGGGAAAACCCCAAATAAAATCCATCAACAACAAAATCAACTCAAAATTCACAAAAGTATCAAATTAAGTTACGCAAATTACAAATTGATACAAAATCAAAGGAACTTACATGTAAATAACATTCTCGTATTGTGATTATGATTTCATGGTTCATTTTACACCATGAAATAAAGTTATGATGGTTCACTTGTTTGTTTATTTATTCACCTATGAATTATTGCCTGTAAAATGTCTACAATTCATACACGAAACCCGAAGAATGGTTTTAGTCATGGAACTGCTCCTGTTGTCACCATGGTGACAGACGTCTGGTCGAGGTCATTGACCTTATGTGTTTGGAGAAGAAGAAGAAACAGAGCAAAAACAATATGTTTTCCTTTTGCGAAGGTAATCATAATTATCAAACATATACAATGAAGATAAAAATTAAAGCGTTCAAAAATGGGTGATTAATTGTTTGTTAGAGCTTGACATTATCACAAGGCTCTGTGTGCAGTACCAGAGCTTTCCGCTGGTGGAGCCTCTGAAACGCCCGGTACTCTTCAGTCATATTGTGGTCGCGGTGGTTCCCCACGTCCCCATAGTAATGGTACTTTATATCTCGCCCGTTTTCATCCTTTGGAAACGGGTAGAATCCGTACAAGTGGACCTGGTCGCAGAAACAGGTCGCCAGTGAGTACAAGATGTTTCCTGTTGACGGCCGCTTGCAATGGAATTCTGAAGACCTCCACAACCTGGATAGTTGAGAGTATGTGTTAGACATGTGATGAAAGCACGCGATTTCACTTCATACATGGAAGCAACAATAAAACACTGAAATCAACGGTTGAATCGCCGATGAACACAACTTAGTGTGAGCTTTTGACAGCACAAAAGAAGTTACTAGAACTTAGTCGACCACTCACTGTAAATGTTATCAATCAGGAATTATCAAATGTGAAAAAAAAGGAAACTTACGCTGCTATTTTCTTAGTAGCATAACTTGGTGCATACGAAAGCTTGATTGGTAAATGATGTTCCAGTATCATTCTGTTGGTAAACTCCACGTCTTCACGTCCGTTCGTCGATACAAAAGCAGAGATGTGGAGAATCTGGTCGTGGATAAGACGCAATCGTTTCAAAAACCTGTCTTGTACGCCGGTAGTATTGATGTATCCTTCATAGTCGTGTGGAAGAACGGACGGATTCATGGTGGTGAAGTTAGCTTTCGTCCCCACGTCCTTCTCGAACCCCTCGATAGCGGGAAGGTTCGGTCTGAACACGAAGTCTGCAGAGTCGATCTCAGGACCACAGCGGCTGCCCAGGAGGATCCCAGAATTCCCCACGACTGCACAAGTCCGGAAGTGCCTGCCCAGGAGAGGCGACGATTCCGGAATCAGTCGGTACATGTCTTCCGTGAGATTGGCGCTCTCGCCTCGGCGCTCGTACTGGATCGTCTCGCCAACTTGGACTTGGGATTTGATAATGGTGAGGTCCGTGTCCGGGTTGAAGAACGCCATAATCCACCTTCTATGAAAAACATACGGAAAAGGTTTGAATTCATGTGTAAGAAACAGGAGGAGCCAGTAAAAACTCTTCTGGTCCCGGGCCGGGGTTCGAACCCACGACCTCCCGGGCACAAGAGCTTCATGATCATGACCAGACGATGGAAGAGCGGCAATGTTGACCAAAGCATCTTGCTATGGTATTAGTAATTACTATTACTGAACAAAATCCCAGGACCCTTTGCAAGTGGAAAATAATAAATATAACTTCTGCCTGGTACAAACTCGATTTCAAGTTAATACAATTCCTTTTATGATTCAGAAAAACATTTACAGAACCAGAACATTTGTTCTTGAGTCTACCCTTAAATCCGGTAGTCAATGACAAATTCAGTATTTTCTATTAAACATTGGCAACTGCAGTCCAGCTCTTAGATATTTTCTTCCTGAACTACTAAAGTATGTTTTGCAGCGCTAAATACCAAGGAAAATTAGTATCTAATTCTTCGAGAAAGAAAAGACATGTACCTTATTAGTTCAACTTCAGATGTAGCGACATACACTCTCGGAGTCTCAGGTGTTCCTTGTGAGTTGGTTCTGTGTGAAAAAATGGGAACACATTGTTTGTACTTTGAGATGCTAGGGGAGGGCGTCAGGTATAAATACTATTACCAGTCTCTACCAGACTAACTACGGTGGATATGTATAGAATATTTGCCAGGGGAGTTTGGCCGCCTTGTTGTAGGTTTGACTGGCCGCGGAGGGAAAGAAACTACCTCCCCGCGGCCGGACTCTCTTTGCCAATGTTACACTCTTTTTTGCCGAATTCTACGATCAGTATTCCCGTAGAAAGGCCTGGTGGAGGCTATATAAATAAAAGTGGAATAGGAACCTAGGCACACAATCCCTTTGTTGCTGGTTATGGTATATTAGCGATATTATCAAGTTTATTATGTAAGCTTTTTACTAATCTAAACATTATTGTTTTACACATTTTCTTGCGCTATAATCCTACCTGGGTTCATAATGACATTTGGGGAGTAAAAGATCAACGTCGGTGGCCGATAAAACGTGCTGGAAAACTGCCAACTCCTCGGTTTGTTTACTGATGTTTGTTTACATTCTTTTTAAGAGCCTTCTAAAAGTACAGCGGGCCTGGCTCAACTTATTCTCGCGCTGCGCTCAGTCGCCGGAAAAGTGAAATAGCGACGCTAATATGTTGAAAGTTATTGAAAACGACAATCTAAATGAGATTTTATTTATTTATATTCACAGTTTTGGCGCAAATTCTTACTGAAACATATATCACTTTAAACACACAAGTGCGGCAATAGGTCTTTGTTAAAAGGTTGTTGTCGCTACCGAACGAGCGTAAAGCGAGACGCGGTTTATTTGTTAGGCTATTTGGAGTGTAACCATGTACAAGGTATTGGATGTCACAGAGTCCCTACGAGTTCGGCACACGAGTTATGTCTGTTTATACTCAGTTATGGTTGGCTTACACAAGAACAAAGATCAATAGAAAGAGCCAACCGTAAGAAAATATACCCTTGTCCTTCTTCAAAATGATTTAAACATTTCAGACCTTTCCTAATTCGCCCTTAAAATCCCGTTATAAATGTGTTAACTGCTGTTTATACTCAGTTATGGTTGGCTTACATAAGAACAAAGATCAACAGAAAGAGCCAACCGCAAGAAAATTTACCTTTGTCCTTGCCCAAATTCCAATAGTTCAAACCTTTCAAATAGTTCAAACCTTTCCTAATTCGCCCCAAAGTCTAGCGATCAATGTTTTTCAGTAACTCCGAGTTACCAGTGTTATCCATACGGCTATATCCGTTCATAACGGTCGCTACTGTTCTTAAGTTTAATCAAGCTAAAAACCAACAGGTGTTTCCTCATACTAAAACTCACCTGTTTCCTGACGAAACCGTCTCTGTCGGCGTCCTCATGTTCAGATCTGGTTGAAGTGAAACGTAGCGACGACTCGTACGATTCTGCCATGTCTTGGTACCGAGTAAGAAGAAGAAAGTGGACGAAAAGAGTAATCCACAGGCTAGGAACAGAACACACGTTCTTCTGATTCTGAGCGCCATGTTTGTTTTGGGTGGTTACGACACACCTTGCGGAGGGGGGGGGGTATTACTTGTAGGGGGTAGTTTAATCTAAGGCCATGTTGATTTGATTATATGGATGACATCCTCCGGGAGCCCCAAAACTGATGCGCGCGTGCGAATAAAAAAAAAGTTTTGCAAAAAAAAAAGTTCTTTTCATTATGAAGTCTACGTGGTCATATGAGAGTTGAGCAAATGGCACAGAATATGGTTTGGCGAATAATCTAGTCTTCAAATTCATTTCTTTACAATTTCGTCTTTTTTCGTTTGATTTTGGCATTCTACGACATTGGAATAGTTTTTATTAATTTTTTTGTAACTTATGGTATATTTTTGCTCATTTTGCAGGATTTACAGTATGGTTGAAAACTTTTCTTTTTTTTTGGAAACGGCCGAAAATTCATGCGCGCGCGGATGTCATCCATATAATCAAATCAACATGGCCTAACCTGAAAAAAAGATCACTTTGGGGGGGGGGGGGTACATGCTAAAAAAGGGTTTAAGGATCGTACGTGCTTGGAATGTGGTATGGTTTGCGTGCGAATGGCGATTAATACAGTATAGTACTCCCCAAAAGTCCAAGAGACAAGTCATTAGAAACAGAGACAAATTGTCATGACTCCATTCAGCGAAGTTCACCTATAACATTACATGTATATAATGTGCACTACTAGGACAAACGAAGTCTTTACTGTTGCTCTGAAACACGGATGTTCCCTTTTGGCGATACCTTGTAAGACAAGGACTTAGTCGTGGCTAAATAGTCGGACAGTACAACGAGTACGTAGCTAGCTATACTGGTAGTTCCGTAAATAATTTCATTAGGTTGATAAACGACTTCTTTTTATCACAACCATTTATTTTTTACTAGCCGACGTTTCGATGACAGTCTGTCATCTTCATCAGGGCAATTCTGACTGGTTTACTGTGCACTGACGCTTGATGTTACTCGGTACATAGTGCACTAAAGGTGTTACATAGTTCATAGTGCACTTCAGCTAGTACATTTGTACTATAGTATTAAGCTAGTTATACTGGTAGTTGTTTGAACGTCCTTGTAGACATGATTGGATTGCGTGTCCAACCTTTGTGCGTTTAGGCCACACCAATTTAATTTCTTGGTTAACGGATTTGCCGCTTCATTTTTTTCTGATTTGCAAATAAAAATAAAAATTCAGAATCAACTGCAAATATTTTGCCCTGAACAGTTGAAAACAGTCCTTTTCATACTTCTTGTTAAATTCATTCCATCTTTCAATGCAGTGGTATCATTAAAAGTTCAAAATTCATTGTCAAAATTTTGAACCAGCCTGGTGTGTTGACTTCATGGCTCCTATCGTACAATTTTGGGCCATAATAGGATGTCTAGGCCTGTTTTTATTTTAATTTTTTTTTCGCCCGCCCGCTCCATTATTTTTGTAGAAAAATCCGTTAACCAAGAAATTAAATTGGTGTGGCCTTAGGGTCAGTTATGATTACTACTCAGCTGAAGCAACGTTTACAAGATATCTATATACAAAACTGGCATTGTGCCATTCGAAACAATTCTAAATTATCTTTCCTTTCCACCTTAGACAAGAATTACAAGCAAGAAAATTACCTTTCTAACATAAGGAGCTTTGACATACGTCGAGCAATCACAAAACTCAGAATTGGATGTCACAAACTCAGTATAGAAACCGGAAGATTTCAAAGGCTTCCTATTGACCAGAGGGTTTGTCCATTCTGCCCAGAACTAGTTGAGAATGAGTATCACTTTTTGATGGAATGTCCTAAGTATGTTGATGTACGCAATTCATTAAATACGAAACTATCGTCATATGTACCAGAATTTACATCGATGGATTTAAGTAGCAAATTTAAGATAATAATGACCTGTGATAACTCATGTATGGTAGATATAGGAATGTATATCAAACAATGTCTAGACATAAGAAATTCCTCCAATATTGTAAAAGTTCATTCACATCCTATATCAGCCACAAACTCCTGTATTAGTTAGTTTAGTCCATAGTTAAGTTTATAGATAAGTTTTGCCATACTTTGCACAATGTACAACTGTTGTGCAATAAAGTTATTATTATTGACTGAAGCAGGAACAAAGCCACCGAAAAAAATCCGGAGAATTTTCACGGAGTTGGTTTCAAAAAAGAAAAACTTCACTCAAGAAACGGCAATAGAAAAGGCTGTTTACTGTCGTGTGGCGTAGCGTGTTCGGTTTAGAACCAAGAGGTCCAGAGTTCGAATCCTACCCGTGTCACTGATCTTGTGCCCTTGGGAAAGGCACTTTACACGACTTTCCTCACTTCACTCAGGTGGAAATGATTACCTAGCTTCAGTTAGGGACGTCCCTCGGATAGGACGTTAAATGTACGAAATATGGATGGCCCAAACAAACAAACAAACAAACAAACAAACAAACAAACAAACAAACAAACAAACAAACAAACAAACAAACAAGCCTCAAAGTATGCTAGTTTATTCACAACACATTAGAATCGTTCTGGCTTAAGGTTAAATGTTACCTGCACGCTTTGGTCAGTACTATGTTAGTACTATGACTATTAACGCTAATTATAACACACATATTATTTTCCTTTTTCGGGATTTTAGCCACGGTAGTACTATTGTTGTTTCAATAGACAATTTTCTGATGTGAACTAAGTACTAAACAAGATGCTATACCGCGGCTATGGTTCTCTAGGGCGTAAACAATCAGTAATTGTACAATGGATGTAAAAATGTGGCTGTATAGTATCTAAACATTGACGACTGATTATTGTTTAGAGCTTGACATTATCACAAGGCTCTGTGTGCAGTACCAGAGCTTTCCGCTGGTGGAGCCTCTGAAACGCCCGGTACTCTTCAGTCATGTTGTGGTTGCGAGTACTGTTTTTTAATTCACCAAAGTAATGGTACTTTATATCTCGCCCCTTTTCATCCTTGTCAAACGGGTAGAATCCGTACAAATGTACCTGGTCGCAGAGACAGGTCGCCAGAACGTACAAGATGTTCCCTGTTGAAGGCCGCTTGGTATGGAATTCTGAAGACCCCCACAACCTAAACAGTAGAAAAAAGTATATGTTACACATGTGAAGAAAGCATGCTTTACTTGATACATGATTGAATAACGGAAGAACACAACTTTTTTTTTATTTCAACAGATCAGCACAAGACGTGGTGACGGCACACTCAAGTTTTTTTCCAACTTATATTAATACCGCCACCAACACAGGGGACAAGAAAATGCTCATTTTCACCTGAGGGAATTGGGGAAAGTCGTGTAAAGTGCCTTTCCCACGGGCACAAGATCGGTGGCATGTCAGGACTCGAACCCGGTACCTCTTGGTTCCGAGTCGAGCACTCTGCCGCTACGCCACCCCACCCCACGCCAAGAACGCAACTTACTGTGTAAGCATTTGGCAGTACAAAATAAATTACTATTACTTGGTCAACCTCACCGTAAATGTTATCAATTAGGAATCGTCAAATGTGAAAAATAGAGACTAACATTTTCATCTTCTTATTGGCATCACTTGGTGCATACGAAAGCTTCATTGGCAGGTGATGTTCCAGTATCATTCTGTTGGCAAACTCCACGTGTTCACGTCCGTTCACTGTTACGAAAGCTGGGATGTGGAGAATCTGGTCGTGGAGAAGACGCAATCGTTTCACAAACCTGTCCTGTACGCTGGTAGTATTGATGTATCCGTCATAATCGTGTGGAAGTACGGACGGATTCATGGTGGTGAAGTTAGCTTTCGTCCCCACGTCCTCCTCGAACCCCTCGATAGCGGGAAGGTTACATCTGAACACGAAGTCTGCAGAGTCGATCTGAGGACCACAGCGGCTGCCCAGGAGGATCCCAGAATTCCCCACGACTGCACAGGACCGGAAGTGCCTGCCCAGGAGAGGCGACGATTCCGGAATCAGACGGAAGAAATTTTCAGTGATGTTGGTGCTTTTATTTCGAGAAGCTTCGTACTGGATCGTTTGGCCAATTTGGACTTGGGACTTGATAACGGTGAGGTCTGTGTCCAGGTTGAAGAACGACGTAATCCACCTTCTATGAAAAACATACAGAAAAAGTTTGACTGACAGAAAGCTCTAGATGAGAAAACTTCTTTGTGTTGGATCAAAAGTTTTAACATAAACCCTATTCAGACCGGGCTTTTTTGGGCATGCTCAGACCGGGAGGGGGGAGGCTTTTGAGGCCTGCCCCTGTAACTCAACAACCACTTATCGTAGGGTCGCAAAACTTTTGTGCAATTATCACATCATATGACGCCATCATGACGTCATCTATATGATTTTTTGGGGTAAAACAGTCGACAATTTTTTTTCGTAAAACAGAGGAATATAACCAAACTTTAACAAAAAGCGTCTATAATAGAATATTAATGTCTGCTTAGACTTATGTTGCCCCTGGCAACAACACTGACGTCAAAATGACGTCATAAAATGACGTAATGCATAATTAAGCTATCGGCCATATTGGATCGGAAATCTCGGAAAATTGCATTTTTTCCATATATAGTCTCAAAACGTAACGCAAATGGATTTAAGACGTTCATATGAACGTCACCGAAAAATATACGAAGTTGAAATGAAAATTAGTGAAAAAACATTGCTACACAAGAGCTAATTTTATGGTTCACCATCTTGGAGTTTGAACGATGACGTCATCAAATCAGCATAAATTATGAATATTTAATGATAAAAATTATATATAACAAGAGTTCCGAGAGTTCATACCTCCATGAAATATGGGCTTAATATGTAAATGTAAATTTCTTCTTTAATTATGCAAATTACCTCTGCATTAACATGATATATGCATCGCATCGTGATGTATGTTAACTTTTGATTAACTTACAGATGTCCCAAGTATGACATTCCCATCATTCACCATTAAGAAATCATAGAATTTTTCATTGCCATTGCCATGGCAACACAAAAAAATCAGGAACTTATCTAATTAATAGGAAATTGTTGACAGATATGTTTTAGGAAAAGTCACCAAATATGACGGTTCTAGTGCAAGCTGTTCAGGCGCTATCCGAGATGAAATTGCGCGCGGGCCTCGAAAGCCACCCTCCCCCCCGGGCCTCAATAGGGTTAAACAAAAAAAATTCAATTCAGGGAAGAGCAATGTTGACTAGAGTATCTTGCTAATACTGAATAAAAAAACAGAACCTTTTGCATGCTGAACATAGTATAACTGCTCCCTGTTTCCAAACTCGATTTCAAGTTGATACAATTATACTTTTTTTTATTAAGAAATCTAGTATTTACAGAAGTCTTATTGCTGCGTTTAACTCGGACAGTCAATAAAAAAGTTCAGTGTTTTCTAACCTTGACAACTGCAGTCCAGGTTATTTGCTTCCTGAACTATGTTTTGCAGCGTTAAAATACAAAGGAAAATCATGCCATAATTCTGTGAGAAAGAAAATAAATGTACCTTATCAGTTCAACTTGTGATGTAGCGATATTCACTGCCGGAGTCTCGTGTGTTCTCAGTGAGTTGGCTCTGTGTGAATAGGAACATACTGATTTTACTTTGCGATGCTGCGGGCGTCACGTAAATACAAGTGGAATGGGAACCGAGCCGGGTTACACAATCCCTTTGGCGCTGGTCTTAAACACACCAGTGCAGCAACAGGGCTTTGTTACAAAGCCGTTGTCGCTGCCTAAGGGCAGTAAAACGAGTAGCGGGCTATTTATTTGTTCGGCTGTCCTTGTAATGTAACCTTGTACGTGTGAATGGATTGCGCAGTGCCCCTAACCTCTACCATCTACCAGGCTTCGGAGTGCGGCAAACAGTTCTCTCTACCGAACCAACTCCCCTGGCATGTTATCTCTCTACTATGTAACGTTATTTGGCGATTTCTACTCTTTCCAGCCGCCTCCCGAAGCCTGGTAGAGGCTACAGTGCCCATAAGTTTGAATTTAGGCGAGTTGTTATGTGCGTTACTCAGTTACCGCGTTGGCTAGCACAAGAAAAACAAAGCTCAACGGAAAGAGCCAGCCGCAAGAAAATTTACCCTTGTCCTTGCCCAAAATGATTCAAACATTTCTAACCTTTCCTAATTCGCCCCCAAAGTGAGTGGTCAATGTTTTTCAGTAACTACGAGTTACCAGCACTATCCATACGGTTCGTGTGAATGTAACCGTGAACCCTTTCCCAACGGTCGCCATGCTACGTACTTAAGGTAAATCAAGCTTAAAACCAACAGGTGTTTCCTCGTACTAAAACCCACCTGTTTTCAGACGAAACTGCCTTTGTCGGCGTCCTCATGTTCAGACCTGGTTGAAATGAAACGTAGCGGTGATTCTGCCAGGCCTTCGTGCCGAGTAAAAAGAAGAAAGTCGACGAAAAGAATAATCCACAGGCTAGGAACAGAACACACGTTCTTCTGCGCGCCATGTTCGTTTTGCGTTTTGGGTGTTAACAACACGCATGCGGAGGGGAGTATATTACTTGTAGGGGGTAGTTTCACCTAACCTGAAAAAAAGACCACTTTAGGGGGGGGGTACATGCAAAAAAGGGTTTAAGGATCGTACGTGCTTGGAATGTGGTATGGTTTGCGTGCGAATGGCGATTAATACAGTATGGTACTCCCCAAAAGTAATGGTTCGGTCCAAGAGGCAAGTCAGTAGAATGCTATGGTCAGACAGGAGTCTAAATCCTTCCTACTATAAAATTGCAACATGATGTAACCCAACACTAGTTACCATGGTGACAGACATATCAATGGTTGAGGTCATTGAGGTCACTGTTTGGAGAAGAAGAAGAAACTGAGCAAAAACAATATGCTTTCCTTCTGTAAACATAAAAACATCAAATACATGCATATATATATCAAGGATGTGGCTATATCGTACATGGAGGACTGATTATTATGGGTTCACCACAAAGTGGTGAAACCATATTGCTTTTTCTCATGATTCTCCTCCTTCTTCTTCTCCTCCTGCCATTTCTTTAAATGGATTCAGCTTCTTCATTTTGAGGCCTAAGGACCTGAAATTTGGTATGGAGGTACAGTAGGCAAATACCCCCAGGCGTTTTTTTAATTTTTGTGATACAGGCTTTTAGAATGGTTTTATTTGAGTTTTTTGGCTGTGTTATAGCAAATGTATTACTGAGTTAGTGTGCAGTGTTACCACATTTGGGCATGAGTCATCACAATGGAATGCAGGGCATCAACCAATAGGCATGCAGCTTTCCTCTATTCTCCTTGCTGATTGGCTGTTGGAATTTAACAGGCTTAACTTAATTAATACCTGCACAGAGCCATTCCATACTGACAGTAGGTCTGTATTCAAGTGTTTTGGTAGGTATTTTAAGCTTTCCTGCTCCAGCATTGGAATGCGGGGCATGAACGCTTCTTTTTTCTTGAAAATCAACAGTTTGCATTATGCAATTAAAAATCCTAACCAATAATGTAGGGAATAGCTATCCAACTGTTGTAGTCTTAGTTGTATGTTACTAGTACTTCATACTATAGTTATATCAATGTAAAGCATTGTTTTCCCTTGTGTTTCTCATTCTTTCCCTGCCATGTCGTAAAATGTGGTGAAGCCATTGCTGTATTTGCTCCAAAGCAAATGTCGGCCTTTCTAGTTGTTTATAGCTTGACATTATCACAAGGCTCTGTGTGCAGTACCAGAGCTTTCCGCTGGTGGAGCCTCTGAAACGCCCGGTACTCTTCAGTCATGTTGTGGTTGCGAAGGTTTCTTACTTTCCCGTAGTAATGGTATCCTATCTTTCTGCCCTGTTCGTCCCTTCCAAAGGGATAGAATCCGTACAGGTGCATCTGGTCGCACAGACAGGCCGCCAGGGCGAACATGATGCTTCCCGTTGAAGGGCGTTTGGGCTTGAATTCTGAATCGTTCCACAACCTAGGCAGTAGAAAGTACCCACATGTTAGGCATATAAACACATTAAAGAATGTTTCAAGATTTAGATACTACATGTTAGAGAATATTATGAAGACGTTAAACTGTTCTCCAACTCAAAATTTGACTCACCGGAATTTTCGACTGAATCACTCAGTCTTCCTCAGCTATCTGACCCAAATGCTGTGGACACATGATTTTTCCCACGTGTGACGTCAGCAAAGGGTAAAAGGTTGTCTGAAGTCGATATCGCCCCCCGTCCCGGTTAGATGTTAGAGAATAGTTAAACCTGTAACCTTTAACCCCCGTAGGAAGGCATGGTGGAGGCTAGTTGGAACCCAAGTTAAAATGCTATGAATTAGGGAATTCTCAAAACTATCATACAGCATAACGCAAGTTGAAACCTCACTTTTTCATCCTTCCTGTAGTGTCCCTTGGTGCATAGGAAAGCTTGATTGGCAGGCGATTTTCCAGTATCATCCTGTTGGTAAACTCCACGTCTTCACGTCCGTTCGGAGATACGAAAGCAGGGATGTGAAGAATCTGATCTTGGATGAGTCGCAGTCGCTTGACGAACCTTACTTGCATACTACTGTTTTCGCCATATCCTTTATAGTCGTGTGAAAGGACAGACGGATTCATGGTGGTGAAGTTCGATTTCGCCCCCACGTCCTTTTCGAATCCGTCAACTGCAGCAAGGTTAGATCTGAACACGAAATCCGCAGAGTCGATCTCAGGACCACAGCGGCTGCCCAGGAGAATCCCAGAATTCCCCACGACTGCACAAGACCGGAAGTGCCTGCCCAGGAGAGGCGAGGACTCCGGAATCAGACGGAAGAAATTTTCAGTGATGTTGGCGCTTTCTTTTCGAGAAGCTTCGTAACGGATCGTTTGTCCAACTTGGACTTGGGACTTGTTGACGGTGAGGTCTGTGTCCGGGTTGAAGTACTTCAGAACCCACTTTCTATGAAAATGATACAAAAAATCGCAGCATGATGTAACCCAACACTAGTTGCCATGGTAACAGACACAACAATGGTTCAGGTCATTGAGGTCACTGTTTGAAGAAGAAGAAGAGGAAGAAACTGAGCAAAAATAATGTTTTCCTTCCGTCAACATAAAAAGTTTTATGGAAGAACGCAGTCGTTCAGAGCATCCTGATATTAATAGTACTGCTGAACAAAAACCTTTAAACTAGAAAAATTCTTAATTTGCGAGTAGAAGTAGAAATTATCGCACCTCATCCGTTCGACTTCTGATGTATTGAAGCTCAGTCCCGGGGGATTTGTTGTTATTGTTGAATTGATCCTGTTATAAGAGATTGTACTTCTGTCAAAATGGCAATGAATAAGAAAACTATAAAGGTAACATTTGCAAAGCGAATGCATAATGCTTACCTTCGCATATGGTCTGCTCTGTTAATTCTTACTCAAATACATTCAAATATATGGTCAGACAGGAGTATAAATCCCTCATACTATAAAATTGCAACATTAGGTAACCCAACACCAGTTACCATGGTGAGAGACGTCAACAAATCATGTCATTGGCCAGGTCAGAGGTTAGTGTTTGGAACGGAAGAAGAAGAGGAAACGTAGCAAAAACAATATGTTTTCCTCCGGTAAACAAAATGACTTATGGCATGACTATGCGTGAAAGGAGAAAGATGTTTTCTTCTACATGTCATTGCAACAGAGCTAATAGTCGGGGACAAATTCGGTTCTTTCCAACCATAACAATTGTCCAGCTCTTAGATACCCTATTTGCTTTTTGCACTAAGTTTGCTAGCATTGCATATCAAAGAAAACCATTCCTTAATCTTGTGAGAAAAAAACCTCCACCTTGTCCGTTCAACTTTCGATGTATTTACATTCACTCCTGGAGCCTCATTTCTTCTCGGTGAGTTGGTCCTGTGTGAAGAAATTGGAACACAAGAGTTTTAATGGGGCGATTCGGTTCTAACTCACTGACATAAGGTTGATGTATAAAGGAGCTTTGATATACTATCGGTATGACTGAATTGTTTGGTCACTTTTAATTTATGGGAGAATTTGAATTTACTACAGACATATATTAGTGCTAGAATGTGTATGCATACCGGGAGGCTACATACCGATCCAGAGAGGCTATATACAGACTACCCCATTGTTCTGGCCAGCACTGAAGCCAGTAGGTATTTTTGCCTGAAGGCACACGTATGCAGTTGATCCAGTGACTAAATTGAAAGGCTTTGAATTATGTAAGCATGAGGTACCTGATCGGTCCAGTTTTAAACGGGAACCGTTTGAAAACGCCCTTCGTTATACGGATGCTGTTTTGGAATTAAAAAATAACAAAGTTGGTGATTTTTGAGAAGTGAGTTGTTCCAATAGGGCAGTAATCCGCTTTGAAATGACTTGAGCTTTGCAGAGGCTGACTTCTAGCCCGTTTCTAACTGGGGTATAACTAATTAAATAAAAAAAAAGAAGGAAAACTAGAGAAGAGAAAGAAGAGTTTTAACTATTTTCTTTTTTTTTAACCTTTTCAACGGTACAGAGACTTAGACAGAGGAAAGGCGACAGAAAAAGAATGTACATGTATCAAGTTACCCACGACAGGTAATACTGTCCAAGTGCTCCCACCAACCCACTCCTGCCAACTTGACACATCAAAATAAAATAAAGATATAAACGACAGACATCTCACAACGAAAGACTGAAACGACGATTCCCCCCTAATGTGCAGCAGAACACCAACCGACCTTGCTCCCGACCTACTCCTAGCCGTTGTTGATGGGAGTTTGGCTAGTGTTCGGGGGGCCATATTACTAGTAGCTCGGCTTTATGTGACAGGTACTCAACTCAAGAGTCCCTCACTAATGCGAAAATGTTGTCCAGAGTTTATTCAGTGAGGTTCACGTAAAGTTCACTAAAAGGATGGCACGCAAACAAATCATGTGTTATTGCTGTTGAGAAAACACATGCCATGGGTGCTCCAACATAAGCCTGGCTCGTATAATGGGGGCCCGAAAGCCCTTTTCCGTAGAGCGTAAACGGCGGCCGTTTTAATTCTACGTAGAGCACAATTGGCGCATTTTGCGTAGAGCGTATTCGCCGTTTTAATTCTACGTAGAGCGTTGTAGCCACTTGGAGAGATCGAGAAATTTCCTGAATTCAGTGTACTAGTAATACGTAGCCAGCTCTCAAAATTTAGCGTAGAGCGTTATCGCTCAACCCCCCCGCAGGCCCAACGTAATCACCAAGCAGATCTTTTGGCCAATGGATACTGCCTTGCCACCGTAGGATCTGCTTGGAGATAACTATATAACGAGTGAAGGTCTGTGGAGTTTGGCCGTGTTTGGACAACATTGGATTGCACAAACATGGATTGCGTGGCCTATAAACCTTTGGAGCTCTTCTCCTTGGTGAGAATGTACCCTTTCATGACGGTCCTCAAACTAAAACCTACCTGTTTCCCGAAGAAACCGCCCGTGTTCTCAGATCTGGTTGAAATGAAACGTAGCGGCGATACGTCCATGCCTTCGTGCCGAGTAAAAAGAAGAACGCCGTGGAAAAGAGTAACCCAAACGCCAGGAACAGAGCACACGTTCTCCTACATGTACATGCCATAGTTACCGATCGTCAGAAAGGTAGTGGTCTTGTCTATTTCGGGCGCTTCCAATAGATCCTTACGGAGGGGGTCGACATATTTTACGCAGGAAGGTAGCTTAATCTAACCTAAGAGGCCACTTTAGTAGGTTATAAATTTTTAAAAAGGTCTAAGGATCGTAGGTGCTTGGAACGTTTTAAGGATCGAGCGAATAGCGATTAGTCCAGTTCAATACACCCCCCAAATTAACGTGGTTTGATCCAAAATAGGTGTGGTGTGGCTACCTGCGGAAGTTTATGTTACAGACGCCTCGCAAACGAGATAATCTCCAAGCAGATACACTTCTAGAAATATGCACTTCTAGAAAGATGTACCAAACAAATGCTGCAAAAAAACACACGCAATGACTGAACTAAAAGTACTACTTATAGTTATATAGTAATGTATGTCTGTTGATGTTCTAAGATAAAAATGATCTGAACCTATAACTGCTGGCTGTTTTTTGTCACTGAGACTGGGCACCGACTTTTAGGAAGTGAGCGAGAATTTACAGGTGCGTTTAGAGTCCCATATAACAGGTGATCTTGACTCTATTCAGCGAAGTTCACGGAAAGGATAAAGCAATTATGATACTTTTATGAGTCCCTAATCTAATAAATTATGTCACAAACAAAGACTATGCTGGTGTTATTAAGTAGGAGTGTTCCAGCTGAATGTTCCAAGGTACGACAAGAATTTCGTCCTTAGTTAAATATTAGACGTAAAGCAAGCAACTGTCCAGTCTACTTCGGTGAAGGTTAGACATTCAGGTAATAAGATACGCCAGAAAAAAGTTACTCGAGCAACTGGACATGATTTTGGAAACGGTCAGACGTTTCAGGTAGCATCCACTACCTTTCGTCAGTGACACTAAGTAAGAGACTGCAGGAGAATTGCAGGTGTATACATAAGCAGGTTTACAAGTAACCGTGTACTGATTGTTGTTAAGACCTTGAGCATGTAAGAGGGCGGTCTGCCAGTACAACAGGAGCTTGAGCGTCAGTCATGTGTGTTAAGAGACAGCCATGCTTGGCCGATCAAGGACAATCTAAAGCCACCGAACAAATCCAGGCGAGGACTTTTCACGGTGTTGCTTTCAAAAACTTCGCTCACAAAACAGAAGTTATCAGAAAGGCTGTCAAGAAAACGCCCTATGTTTAGGTTGTTTTGTCTTCTTTGTTTCTTTGAGTCTTTACTAGTACAAAAATAAGGCCTGCTGGCCGCTATTCATTTTTGTTATGGAGGGGTGAGCGAGAGGTCAACGCCAGACAAAATAGAGTAAGGTGCCACGGTACTGCCACCAAATCCAGAAATATAGATAGTAGTGACTGTTGAAAGGCTTCGGCTAATTTTTGATGTGTCTGTTAGGCATTTTTATCGGTATTTGTACTGATATTTTTTACCGATATTTTTCTTTCGTCAGCCAATATGATACTGCTCTGTCAATATAATACTGTCTTGTCAATTTGATACTACATTGCAGCCACCAAACGTCTGCTTGGAGATTGTCCCAAACGATGGTTTCCAGTCTACAAAGATGGCGACCACACATCCGCACCTCCTGAGTGCCTCAACCGGTCTAGCCACTTCAGGTGACGAGCCTTAAGGTACAGGTGAGACATTTCTACACAGAACACACCTGTTAAGGTACAACAAGTGTACAGGCGTCCAGGTAAACCGGCGTTAAGGTTAGGTAAGTCGTTGCGTCTTAATCATTTCCATCTTAATATTCAGCAGGTAAGGTTTACTCATCAACTGTGAAATCTGTTCTACTTTTTATGTGAAGTAAAAAACACTGAAAGTTTGTAACAATTAGGATCTGAGTTGTCTACAGGTTTTTGTGGTAAAAGGATGTGGCTGGTGACTTTTGAAGGTGTCTTAAAAATAATACTTTAAAGATATATACTTTAAAGCTATTGACCATAAAGAAATAAGCTAAACTATAAGCAACGGATATATCGGATATGAAGATAAGAACAATATGATTTAAGTTAAATTCAAAGTTTTTTACTCTCTAGTAGATTTAAGAAGATACCATTCAGCAACTTTTAGGGGTAGTGACACTTTTTTTCACTTCAGTTCTAGCAGACCGATGTGAGAATGGTTTGTTCCATGTAAAAAAAAACCTTCGCAGCACCAGTGCTGAACTTCGGTTTTGTACACACACACACAAAGTCACAAACACGTCCTTCATGTATCATCAGGACTTAAAGCATTATACATAACAAATAAGAGTCTAAATCCTGGAAAGATTTGATTTGATTTATTTGGCTGAATAAGACATATGTATACAGCCAGGACTGCCCAACTAGCCGGAGGCTATTATAAAGGGCTAGCCCTCACAAAAAGATCACCAGTATCACGACTTAAAATTCTACTATAACGTTAATCAACAGAAGTTGTGGACTACAATAAGTCATGGACAAAGACTCGGGAGTCGCAGTTGACGACATCGCCCCAGTAGTGATGGGGGAGGGCGCGACCTTCCCTAAACTGGACGGAGTTCCGGACATCGAGGGGGATTCTGGGAACTTTAACGACGACCAGAGCAGCCAGAGTTCGGACAACACCGTCAACTCTTCACTCTACACAAACTCCGGTAGGAGACACTTTCATTCTGTCTCTTGGCGATTTTCTTTTATGTGATGATTCTTTATTGACACAACAAAAAGTACAGAGACTTTTGTATGGTCTTCTACAACTTAATTTAAACACATGTGTGGATAACTTTATCCTTTATATTATCACTTCGATGTCACACGTACACGTACAATATCACCAGAAAGCTTTAAACAACGAGCTCCTGCAATTAATTGTGAAAAGATTGAGTGTAACAAGTCGTCGGTGTAATATACATTGTAGCCCGCTGCCGCCGCACCACGTGCCTGTGAAGCTGGTGTGTTACGCCGAAGGGCGATTATACCGGCTATACAGATACAGATATAATATCAAAGCAATAATTCTTTCCCGATGATGCAGACAAACCACCAGAACCAGACGAAGAAGCAACACAAGAAGAGGAGGGCGAGGGAGGGGAGGAGTCGAAGAAGGGAAAGAAGAAGAAGAAGAAGGAGAAGAAGGCGACGAAAGGAAAATTCAAAGGATGCAAAGGTAGATTTGCAGGTTACTTGTATGTATACTAACAAATGATGGAGGTTAATTAGCATCAGGTATCAAACTGATACATATTAAAATTATACTTATTTATATAGATAACATTTAATATATGTTGTTTGGTACATTGTGATTAAGATAAAAGAAAAAGATGGCATGATCATATAGTGTAATATGATAGATGGATATTCTCTTAACTGTTATAAACAAGGCTGGAAGTAATGATAAAATTGCACAAGCCCATGGGAACTATGATATCTAGCTCTTCGTTGATACATTCTGTGACACGTGTGTTAAGTTCACTACATTTTCTTCTATTTTTCAGGATGCGTGTTGATGTGAGAAAACGTCATCAGGGTGGAACTGAACATGGAATCAGGGTGGACGTACTTAATGCAATACAGCTAGTGAGGACGCTGGATCTCAATAATACCCCCCCTCCCATATACACACACACGTGTCTTCCACTGCCTTCAAAAAAGAAGTCAAACCCAGTAGTTTTTAGGAGTTAACAGTAGTTCTCTGTCTATTAATTGTTTTACACCAAATGTTTCTTCTGTACTTGCAATTAGCCATCGGGCATGAATTTGCAATAAAACATATAATTCATAGAAAAGACATATTAATTACGGAGACATAAATACGTATGGTCTTCTACAACGATGAACACACTGAAATGGGGGCATAGAGGGTCTATTTATTGTGAATGATTAAGTACTATACGACAGAGAACCATATTTAGACATCCCAAATTTTGAAAACCGCAGAGCCATGTGTAAACTCCGTATTAGCGACCACCCTCTACACATAGAATCTGGCAGGCATAGCCGTACACCGTTACAAGATAGACTGTGTACATTCTGTAACAATTCGTGTATTGAAGATGAATCGCATTTTATGCTTGACTGTAAATTATATGATAACGAACGTAAATCACTGTTCAGTTCAATTAAGCTCGACAAAAAATGTAAAACATTATCAAAGGAAGACACCTTTAAATATATTATATCATGTACAAATATAGACGTCATCAATGAAGTATGTAAGTATATTTCAAAAATGTTTACAAAAAGAGAGAAGAAGCCATTAGAACTTAGATCAATACCACTTATATTTATATTTCTTTTTATCTTATTTTTAGCATTGTATACCTTAGACCTAATGTTAGC